TGTTGTAGTAACTTGCGAGAAATACAACTGTACTGAGTTTGTGTGACCAAGTCGGTTTGTTTTGTTTAGCGTATGTAAGATTGTAAATATTCAGATCAACTTCAGTTTTGGCAAAGTTAAGTGGAGCATGTTATATGGAGTTAGATCTATGTTGCATGTCAGCAACGTCGACGCACTTAAATCAGTTTATTTTTGGGGCGGGGGGTAATTAATCTAATAGCAGAAAGATAATTCAGTTTATTTTATTTATTTAGTGTTCTGTCTGACGACAGGTCCATATGAACAGGATCCTTCCATCCTTTTCTCGGACTGGGACCTGTTCATATACGTTCTTGGCAGATGATCCAGAAGTGGTTTGCCATTGCCTTCTTCTGTGAGTGAATGGAGTAATTGTTGGGATGCCACGGAGGAAAACTCCGTGTTGCCTAGACCACGGCCTTGCCCAACACAAGTTATAAATTCGGGCACCGCCGGGAATCGAACCCGAGACCCCAGGATTACAAGGCCAGCGTTCTAACCGCTAGACCACCGTGGCAAGATTTATGGCTGGTGTCAAGCCTTTGTGCGTGTGTGTACCCACGTACGTTTGTATGTTAGGAACAGAGAATTGGGGTGGTTCATACCATCTCCTACGTTCTTTTTTCGTCAAAAAGACACATAGGAATTCATTCTATGTTCTATGAATATTCAGCACTCCAATTTGTAGTTCTAACCCAGACCGAAATTTTGACAGTTCTCTGACAGTGTATCAGGCAGTCAAAATAATTCACTATTTGCGTATTCGTACCGAAATCAGAACAACTGGAGCTTTTTTCAATCCTTTTATGGTTTATCTGCACAGAATGTAATTCGAATCGGTCTGGTCTACGCAGGAATTGAAGCTGTGTGGGTAGGTGACCCCTGCATGTGGTGTGTTTTTTATTAAAACGTTTAAATTTAGCTGGACGGACAGAATTTACTCGAATATAGAGCAAGATATTTCTTAAATTAGGCTTGTCGTGAATTTGAGCATTCACGCTTGTTAATCGCGTAATATTATGATCCTCAGGGCCCAGTTCAGTCACCTGGACCGTACGAAATATGAAGATTTTTTCCCCAGTGCGAAGTGAAATTACGAAATCTCGCATTGGATCGTCACATTCTTTTAGTTTTAAGACCTGAATGGTGCAGTTTCATGGCAGCAAACCTGTCTGTCTGTCTGTCTGTCTCTTGTCAGGTTCCCATCACGGTCCGACGCCCGGCTTGAGGTTTCTTGTGTGTTTGCCCCGTCTAGGGTCATTTAAAATTCGTGTTGTGTGTGGTCCCGAATATGAGTATTAACAAAAACACATACAGGGTGATTCAGTATTGACTTTCATAATTTTGAGGATAAATTTGCTCGTATGCGCGGTCTTCAGGGTCCAAGAAATGTGCAACACTTATCAATTTTAAAGTGCTGTAAATCAAAATGGACACGGATCAACGTATAGTTCCATTTTTACTTGTTTATAGTTATAAGACATCCTGAAACGTGTGGAAAACAACAAATGTCAAATTCTCGACAATACCGGCCCTGTGCGGCGTCCACTAGACCAGTGGTATTGAACCTTTTTTGTTCGCGTACCCCCAGATATAATTTCTCTTCAATTCTGTACCCCCAAAGTTGTTGGTGTATAATTCAAGTTATACATAGTATATAATCTACATCTAAAATAAATTAAATAAATTACATTATTGATTATTCAGTGTTTATCATAAAATAATATATTTTTTTTAAATTTTACGTACCCCCTAAGATGTCTTCGCGTACCCCCGGGGGTACGCGTACCCCAGGTTGAATACTACTGCACTAAACAGTCACCCATGCCACGCCCTTAGTAAGGTCACAGCCTCTCTCTCTCTGTCTCTCTCTCCTTTGGCTAGAAACTGCAAAACAAAGGAAATCTGGTGGATAAACCCAATCTTTATGCCAATGGTTAAATCTGATGTTAAAATTATTTCACTAATTATATTCAGCTGTATTTATGACGTTAGAGGTTAAAACACGTGTTACAGATTTAAAATATAATGTCCGGTGGTCTCTTCAACAGTCGTTAATACTCCAATTATTTTCAGCACTGAGACAGTCGCTGAGAATTCTAGTACCGTCGCGTTAGAGTCTGAGTGGTTGAAATCCCCATTTGACCCACGCAATTCGAAACTGTCGTAATTTGATTAAGTAGGATTACATTCTCGTTGTGTGTTGTATTAATATTCCCCGTATAAAGGCACTTTAAGGGAATATGGCCACGTCGCTGACCGTCGTCAGAAATCAGAACAATGTAGTAAAGCTGGTTTTATGTCATTCTTTATCAGATCTTCTTTTGTCACAGATAATAAGAAACATACCAACCTTGCCAAAAAAAATATACCAATTCATTGTTAAAGATTACTTTGCTGAATTAAAGGAATTGTTAATACGATTGGATATTACGGACAAGCCTGAAGGGATTTACGTTGTTCACGAAAGAGGGATGTGGTTTAAGTTTATTCTACGTAAAACAAAGATTTGTCAGTTTATGTTAGATTAAAAAATAACAATCTTATTTTTGTTCCTTTAGAATTAAAAACCGAAACAAAATTTTTAATAATGTTCGAAAACAGCACATATATTAATTCTTTGCCTTTATATTTGAATTTACATATTTCAGGAGGTATATTTTGATTAGCACGAAGTTGGCAATATTCTTTAATGTATACGAGCTACGTTAAGTTCTAATGGGTGCCATATTGTGTTTGTTTTGAAACCTTCTGAATATGACGAAGGAAGTTCCTCATTGTCTGGACCATCACAGCTTCTCACGACTAGAGTTTGTTATCTTATCGCTGTTAAGTAGCCTAAATACGTCGTTGAACCAGATCATCGCAGAGTAGCTTAAAGGTTGATTCACCTCTGAGATAAAACAAATATGGCGAAATTATCCGAAGTGGACCGCCTCGGAGCATCACAGGGGAAGTCCACACCCTTACGGACGCAAAATCAATGAGGGCGCTGGGCTGTTGCTGGTGCTGCCATCTGGCGGGCTGCTGCAGACTTTCCTATTGATCGGGCCGCGCCCGTCTCGTACGGGAGGACTCGTGGCCTAGCAGAGGGTGGAGAGAGGGGAGGGGATGGCAGATCATTCACCAGTTCTGATATTGATTTTCGGATAATTACGTTAAAAATGATTTTGAGAGATTTTGGGACAAATGAGATGCAGGATTAAGAATTCCTCAAATACGAAGGGACGGACAGAACTGATTTAAATATTTTTTTATCGACATGGAATACACCGCAGGGTTGTTTTGGTTCGGTATGTTAATTATTTTTGGACACCCTGTGTCAATGGTTTTTATTTTCCGTGTTGAGAGACGCGAAAATTGTTGTTTTCTGACAGTGACTTAGATGCCCCAGGTTACTTATTGAAGTATTTGCATCTGAATCTGTCGGTCTGTCCCCTCTCATGTTATTTTGCAGATACGAAATTTTTTTTAAAGGCGTGTGTCACGTGAAAATATTTTTGAGGTTCCCTGTGGTAAATCCACAATATATTTCTTTTAACAACTTTTTGTCTGGTTCGTTGTTTGGCTACTCTGGGTCTAATAATGGAAAAATTTGGAACAGGTTCGTGAAAGCAAATGTTTTTGTTCGAAAATGGCTGTCGTCTGGGTTGTAGCTCTGTGTAGTAAGTTTACCAACGTTTCAGAGGCCCTTGCTGTCTCCATCATCACGGTGATTAGTACATAATATTTTCTTGATCCGAACGGTTTCGAATGTCCGAACGTAGCCGTCAGTAGAATTTAAGGTTTTCGCGACACGGCGTTACAATACCGGAAGTCAGCCATCTTCTCACTCACCGCCGCCATAACCTCAAATCCTACGAAACCTTTGCTCTTGACTGTCCTGTTTTGTACTGTAAATAAAATTAGTAGGATACATTACATAAAATATACGAGGTGCGATCGGAAGGTTTCCAGACTGCGCGTATAAAAACCCGTACACTTATCTCAGATATTAAATTCATCCATCATCCTCGAAGTAGTTCCCCTGGGAGTGAACACAACGATCCCAGCGCCGCTGCCAAGCCTGGAAGCATCCCTGGAAATCTTTCTTTGTCAGCCTGTCAAGCACCATCTGCGATTCTGCCTGAATCTCTTCTATCGTCTCAAATCTCCTTCCCTTTAGCTGAATTTTCATCTTTGGGAAGAGGAAGAAGTCACACAGAGCTTAGAAAGGAAGTTGGGGTCGGTTCTTGCAAGATCTTGGAGCTCCTGACAAACGAGAAGTCGATTCTGCTACTGGTCCTCAGACAGGAGCCTTGGCACAAACTTGGCTGCGATGCGTCGCATGTGGAGTTCTTCCTTTAGAATCAGCTAACAGGTCCCATAGCCTATCCCAACAATGTCGCACAAGTCGTTGATGGTACGACGTCGATCTTCGTAACAGTTTCGGGCGTTGTGCTCGAAGATGGTCGTCCAGAACGCTCGTCATCATCGACAGAGGTTCGGCCATTTTTAAAACGTGGATGCTTCCAGGCTTGGCAGCGGCGCTGGGATCGTTGTGTTCACTCCCAGGGGAACTACTTCGAGGGTGATGGATGAATTTAATACCTGAGATAAGTGTACGGGTTTTTATACGCGCAATTTGGAAACTTTCCGATCGCACCTCGTATTGTAGTAAACATGACAGCTACTTTGTGCCACGGACTTAATGAGAAACTTGTTGCATTCGACTGAGAACATCCATTTTTCTCTTAAGTCAGTGTTTCGAAAGAAATTTACCGAAGTCTTAAATTAAAAAAATTACTTAAATTTGGCGTACTCTTAGGAACCATTTCTAGTTCTCTGTTGCAATTCTAGAGTGCCTTAAAAAAGAAATTAACACTCCGAGTGTGTCGCGAGCCCCAGAAGGTTGAGACCCACTGGTGTAGAGAATTTGTACAAGACAAGTTTGCCTGCCTTAAAGTTCGTGTTGAGTGTGGACGCCTGGGGATGCTTTGCAGGCTTCGGAGATGTGGTGACGAAAACTTGCAGTGCCCGAGGACGCAATGGGGAATAAGTTGAGTTGCTCATGTGCGCCGCTCATCCGGAAGGCGTACCGATACGAGGACTCACCGTGGCAGACGTCCCGGCGTCGCGACGGCCACCTGCTCAGGTGA